CCAGCCACTCCTCTGAAGGAAGGTTGGGCAATCCACTTCCATAGTGATACTGCCTTGGAAACCCAAAGAGGGGTCACTATGAGTTGGGACCAACTCGACGGCACATAGCAAAAACAACAATCTAAATAGATGCCCGATTTATAAACTGCATGTCCATAGTTATATACAACATTTCTTCAACATCCCTAACTGAAAGTTAGAGGGCCTTTGGAGGATCCATCTTAAAACTCCTCTCCAGAACTTTATCCTTGTAGTTGAGAGAAGGGGAGCTCTGGTAGCATGGTGCCTAAGGCACTTGACTGCTAACCAGAAGGCTGGAGGTTCAAACCCACCAGCCACTCCTCGGAAGGAAGTTTGGGTGATGTACTTCCGTAGTGATACTGCCTCAGAAACCCAAGAAGGTCTCGCTATGAATCGGGTCCAACTCGACGGCACATAACAACAACAACAACAACAAAGTTGAGAGAGGAGGGGGCTGGGCTTGGAGCAAGCTGCCTGGTGGAGTCCTGGCTCTATTGCTTTTTAACTGTGTGATTTGGACAAGGGACATGACCTCCCTGTGCCTCCTTGGACTCATATGTAAAATTGGGATAATACCTCTGGCTTTGTACAGGGTTTAAATGAAATAATGCTCATAAACTGTGTAAAACAAGTGTTTGGCACATACATAGTAAAAATTCTATACATATTTCTTAACATTATTTTTATTATGTTTTTTTAAAAAATGGGATCACACTCTAAAATTCTATTTTGAAGCCTGTTACTTCAATAATACTTCTAGATCATCTTTCTTTATTATGTATCATCATTTTGAATGACCACATACTTTTCTTTCATATGGATGTAACATCACTGATTCAATCTCTGTGGTGGTTATGTTTGTGTGTCAACTTGGCTGGGCCTTGTTGAATGGCTAGGCAGCTGGTGGTAGTTATTCCCCATTATGAGACTGGCAGTCAACTCCATGGTGGACTCTACTGTGAGCAGCTGAGTAGCTGTCTTAGGGAATGTGGTCTGCTTCCTGTATATAAGCAGAAGTCTTGGGGAATGGTCTCTAGCTTATGGCATGCTTGGACCCTGCATTATAGCCGTTTCGTTGTTCAGCAGCCTGCCAAGCTCTGCCGACTTTGGGACTTATAATGGACTTAAATTAATGGCCTGCCATGTGATTTGGTAACATCGGGACTGTCTCTTTTTACTTGTTAACCTTGGGGCTTCTCAGCCTCAGCAGCCAGCAGCTGTCTGAGAGAAGAAATGCCTCTGGCTTCAGTGGGCTGGGAGCAGGAGGCAGAGCTGGACCCCAAGGTTGAGGGGCTTTCACCCAGCCCCTAGACCCTGGCACTTTGAACTTGGACTTAAAGCCTCCAAACTGTAAGAAAATAAACTCCTGTTTGTTAAAGCCATCCCATTTGTGATATATTCCTCTCTGAGTGGCACTAGGTAACCAGAACAATCTCCTACTGAAAGTTTTTTGTTTCTTTCTTTTCAGTTGTAAACATTGCTCTAATGAGCATCCATGAAGGAAAATCTTTGTCTCCATTTTTCTTGAACAGATGTTTCTCCAAAGAAGACATTCAGGCAGCTAATAAACATAAAGAAATGCTCATGATCATTAGCCATTAAAAAAAACCAACCAACCAACCAAACTTACGGCAATTGAGTTGCTTTGACTCATAGCGACCCCTCCTTGGGTTTCTGAGGTGGCATCTCTACAGAAGTAGATTGCCCAATCTTCCTTCCGAGGAGTGGCCAGTGGGTCTGAACCGCCAGCCTTCTGGTTAGCAGTCAATGCCTTAGGCACTATGCCACCAGAGCTCCTCAAAACAGATATCTCACCCCAGCACTAATAGCAAAGTTCAAAAAAACAGAAAACAGTAAATGTTGGCAAGGCTGTGGAGAGACTGGAACCCTTATACACTTCTGGTAGGACTGTAAAATGGTGCAACCACTGTGGAAAACTGTATGATACTTCCTTAAAAAGCTGGAAATAGAAATACCATATTATTCAACAATCCAGCCACTGGGCATATGTCCTAGAGCTGTGACACTAAGGCATCTGACTGCTAACCAGAAAGTTGGTGGTTCAAACTCACCAGCCACTCCATGGAAAGAAGACTGGGTAATCTACTTCCATAAAGATTTACTGCCCCAATGGGGGTTACTATGAGTTAGAATCTACTTGAAAGACCAGGTTTGCTGGTCTGATAGAGCTTGGTAAGACCCCTGAGACTATGACCTCTAATTACCCTTCAGGTCTGGCATTGAATTCACTCTTGTGGCTTCCAGACAAAGAATAGACACGCATATGGGGTGAACATTTATATCAGATAAATAAACTACTTGGAGTTATCAATTATGGCAGAACAGAAGGGCAGTGTTTGCACAGGGAAACAGTTGGGGGCAGGGTGGAGTGCATGGGAGGGAAGGGCACAGGGAAGAGGTAACTATGGGGAAGAAGTGGGAAGAGAGCTGTTACATTGTGGGTAATTGCAGCCAGTGTCATGAGACAAAATGTGTATGAACTGTTGTATGGCAAATGAATTTCTTCTGTAAGCTTTCACCCAAATCACAATAAAAATTAAAAAAAAAAAAAAGCATTTCAGAAATAAAGAAATACTCGTTGATGGCTACCAGGGGTGAGTAAAGATGGGAAGGTA